AAATATAAAGCTCAGGAACCAGATTACATATTTAAACGGTTCATAACATGAATAATTTAATAAATTGAGAATAGTAGAGTGTAGATTGAAGTTCAGGTCAGCAGTGAGAGCTTTCTACAATTACTAGGTTTCAGTCCTAAAGCAGGTATGCTGTCGGAATACCTTCTTACGAATGGTGCAATTTAGCTCAGATTGCTTCCTTGCTAGAGTGGCAAAAGGGAGGGTATAAGAGGTATGCACGACTCACCTTACTGGAGGCCTGTATGAAACCAGCGAATCATCAAAGTCGAAACTCGTAGAGTTGTTGCGTTTTACTGGAATCTAGAAGAAAAATGAATTAAGGGGAATACAATAGGAAAACTGTCAGTATTTTCAAAAGTTATTGGAATAAAGTAAGATGCTAGAGATAAAATTTTCAATTAGGTATTAGAAAAATGCAAACAGCCAATAATGAAGATCCAGATGTCGTCCTCATCGGGGACAAGATGTACTAGTTGCTTGAAAAGGCAAATATCCTAAAAACGTTTATATGCCAGGCTCCTTAGCGGACTTTAAACTGTGTTCTGATAGAAACATGCATATATATTAACAAAAAAGTTAGTCATTGGCATTGGACTACCTTGGAGTGAGAGTCGGGCACTAGGAAGCCTACTTACTGTATTCGACCGTGCTCAGGAGCAAAAAAGGATCCCTCCAAGTAGCATTCACTTTGTGACCTGATCGTCTTGTTTCATTTTCTGTTGTGCGCCACGGTGTCAGAAAATAGAAGCTTACGCAGCTAACACTGGTGGGACATACGGGTGAAATGACGTAATTTGTAATTACTGTCGGAACCAAATGAGGACTTCAAACGTCAGTCAGCAAAACCGTAAAGTGCTCGACTTGTAGCACTGCCTAGGAAACACCGCATTCAGATGTATTGACTCAGTGGTACTTTGTACTTCACACGTATGTGTTAATTTCATAAATCCTGTGCTCACCGATTGATGTTGCAGTTAAAAACTATTTCAATGCGACTGACTCAGTTACTGACTAACGATTAACCGTAGCGAGTTACTTTCAGTACTTCGATTTCGACGCCAGTAGCGGTTCAGCAATTGTCATATGTGCCGACGGTACTGACGATTTGTCAAAAGTGCAGACTGTGGAAGATCTACGAGAGGGAGGGCACGAGCGTGCAGACATCAAAAGAAAAAGGGGGATAAAACCAGCAAAAAAGTTGGTGGAGTTGTCTTTCACGAAAACCCCCTACTATGACGTCGGCAAGAAATAAGAAAGGAGCCACAAACTTCACAAATGCACCCGCTCGGGAAGCTAGAATGGAAAGACCGTTCAAGTTGTTATACCAGATTCCTAATTTTTGACTGTAAAGGCGGGAGGCTGGTAAGTGCAACGAACATGCGGATGAAGAGTAATCTAATTAGTAATAGTATAAACATACCTTTACTTAACGAACTTCATGCCTTGTCCACTTCTCATCGGATGTTAGCTCGTGATCAAAAGGTTATACATTTTTCCTAAACTTCTCTTAAGTGTTCGTTAGACAGAATACACATTCTCGACTATAATATCTGCATCAT